CGTCATGCTTCCCCAGCACACACCCCGTTGAGTTGTCGAGTACTGTCAAGTATAAGATCAGAGGTCTCCCTTCAACTGGAGGCATCAGAATAGGTGGCTCTTGGAGATACTCTTTAATCCTTTCGAAATTGGCCTGACATTCATCGTTCCAACGTACTACTTGATATTTCTTCAGCGGCTTGAAGATTGTCTCACAAGTAGCAGTTAGGTGCGAGATGAATCGGGAAATGTAATTCAGACGTCCCAGAAAGCCTCTGACTTCTTTCTCTATTTTGGGAGCTGGCATCTCCTGTATGGATTTCACTTTGGCAGGATCCACTTGAATACCTTTGTCGCTGACGATGAAACCTAGCAGCTTACCAGATCTCACTCCGAAGGTGCACTTGTTCGGGTTTAACCTCAACTTGTACAACTTCAACCTGTCAAACAAATTCTGCAGATGGTCAAGGTGTTCTTCCTCAGTCTGGGACCTTGCAATCATATCGTCAACGTATACTTCAATCTCATTATGGATCATGTCATGAAACAAAGCAACCATGGCATGCTAATATGTTGCCCCAATATTCTTCAGTCCAAAAGGCATGACCTTGTAGCAAAAGGTACCCCACTGAGTAACAAAGGTCGTCTTCTCCATGTCTTCGGGAGCCATTTTAATCTAATTATAACCGGAGAAACCATCCATAAAGGAGAAGACTTTGTGCTGAGCAGTGTTGTCAACCAGAACGTCAATGTGAGGTAGGGGAAGTCATCCTTGGGGCTTGCCCTGTTCAGATCCCTGTAGTCGACACACATACGGACCGTACCATCTTTCTTCGGCACAGGAACCACATTGGCCACCCAATGAGGGTAAGAAGTAACTGCTAGAAAACCGGTGTCAAACTGTTTCATAACTTCAGCTTTGATTTTCTCAGACATCTCTGGGCGCATTCGAAGGACCTTCTGTTTCACTGGAGGACAATCTTCCTTGGTAGGCAGGCGATGGACCATAATATCAGTATCCAAACCAGGCATATCTTTGTAAGACCAGGCAAAGATCTCAACATAGTCACGCAGCATCTGAATCAACCGTTGTTTCACACTAGGCTCCAGATTAGCACCAACCTTGACTTCCTTCTTGTCTGTCTCAGTACCCAGATTCACTGATTCCACTGGCTCTTCATGTGGCTGAATAACCCTCTCTTCCTGGAGTAACAGTCTTGCAAGTTCACCAGGCACTTCACAATCATCTTCACCTTCGTCTTCGGCTAAGTTGATCGGATTTTCGAAGTCATAACTGGCAGTAGTAGAGTCGTTACCAGTGAGATCCATAGTGGATGTGGACCTGTATACGTGAGTGTGTGTAAAATAGCTGTTTTGAAATATATAATAAAGAAAAACAAGGAGCGCAAAATTTGAAATGCAAGAACGTCCAATGCTTTTATTAATGATATATGAAAATGACACACATAAAGCCCTCACAAATGAAGCCACAGTGCCCCGGGTAAGACACCGGGACATAGAGTTCAAAACATTGTCTATTACAAATTCAAAACAAAAAGTTTCATTATTGGGTAACAAAAGTAATAGGGATGAAGTCCATTGCTGTCCAGTTTCTTGGTCCACCGTCGGTCGTAGGATAGATCCAGCTGTCAAATTCAGACTCTTCCACATCATCTTTGTTGTACCTCAAAATTTGCCCTCCCATACTCCTCAAGATTTGTCAAGAATAATCTCTAAATGGCTCAAGTTTACTCAAAGATTGTACAGTCAAGCCACCTACTAAGACAGATGAAATTAGGGTTTTGGTTCTTCCAAGGAATTTGGGGTTTTCAATGGTTCAATCAAGTCTCATAGACCTATATACATTCTCAAGCACCTACATGCTAAGTTTCAGGACTCACCGTGCCAATTTGCACAGTCAAAAGCTCTGTTTGACCTACAGTCAACTGCAACGGCAAAATAGTCATTTTGCAGTCAAAAGTCAGAATTTTTGGTCAACATCTTATTTTGAGTCCACAATAATCATTTGATCAAGTCTTGATCATGATTCCACAAGAATAGCTCAAAAATCATCAAGATGCAAAAAGTTACTATTTTTGGACAATAGAAAAGTCAACTGTATCTTGACCAGGGCATAACTTTTTAATGGTTTGTCAGAAAAATTCCATCCAATGCTCATTTTGAAGAGGAGGATGCAATTTCCTTCAATCCATCTTCACACTCCAAGTCTAAGAAATGCCCTCACAAAAAGTTACCAATTTTGACATTATAGGTCAAATTCCAAAGTCAACAAATGTACACTTTGAGTCAAAGGCCATAACTTGAGATTGGTAAATCCAAATGACATGGGACCAAAGGCATTGGTTAGAGGACTTCAAGAGCTTTCCAAAATGTCCAATAACATGGTCATATGATCAAAATTGAGCAAGTTGTGCATTGGAGAAGTTGGGAAATTTTCATGAATTTGCAAAAGTCAACTATGATCAAAACACCTTATTTTTGCTAATGGGCCTCAAATCTCTTCTTGAAACTTCATCCATGACCTATGCACGACCCATCAAACTTAATTGAATTTATTTTCTTATTTTTATTGATTAATTGGATTTTTAATTGATATTAATTCATTTAATCAATTTAAATCATAAGAAAATAGAAGATTTGTTTTTCAAATCTTTTTGTGAAGCAAATATGACCTAAACATGCTGGCAAATTCGTGCACAAGTCAAAGATTTAAAAAAAAATCCAAAATTGGCAACTTTGTTCAATCATGAAAAATCAAGAAGATTTGATTTTCAATCAAGGATTCAATCATCAATGCACATGGATTTTTGCCCAGCTTTTGACCTAATTCAATTTCCTTATATACAAGCAAGCAAACCCTGACCTGACACTACGCCAAATAAGCTATTTAATAGCGCTTTTTTTGTTTTTGATAGCGCTTAAAAGTGCTATTAACCGCGCCACTATTGTAAATATTTCTTATTTAATAGCACTTTAAAAGCGCTATTAAAGTACCAATTTATAATAGCGTTTTAATTAAAGTGCTATCAAAGTCAGTATTTTGCATGTTTGTTGTTTGTTTTTTTTATAGCACTCTAAACAAAAAGCGCTAATATATAACATATGTTTGATAGCGCTTTCAAATAAAGTGCTAATAAATGGTACATATTTGGTACAATATTTTTAATAAGTACAGTACAATATTTTTTCTTACACAATCATTTTTTTTGGTGTAAATATAAAATAACTATATTCAATTCAACACAAATAACGCTTTAAGTTACTCATTGGATATATATTATGATCCATCAAATACCAAATAACATTTTAAATTACCAAATCCTATTGTTTCCAAATATCATAACATATAGAATATTAAGAGGGCGTTTGCATAGCCAAATTTGTAGATGCCCATCTATGAGTACTTCAATCCAAATCCAAAAACATACAATCAAATTCTCTAAACAAAACACCAAAAAAATAAGAAAGGATAACAAAACAATCCCATGTAGTAACCACCTTCATGATCCAAAAGCGTTGAACTCATAGATCCAAAAGCGTTGAATTGTTTATGCGGCATAAAGCCTGGTTTTCAGTAATCACCTTATATCCAAAAAGTTTGTCTTCGTAAGTTTCATATGGCCCTATTGTGATATCCAACTTAGAGTCCTGCATAGAGAAGAGAATGCCAAATAATATCATTTTTCAGAAATTGTATACAAAATAAAACTCATTACCTTAATTACACAAGCGCATTGTTTCGGAAAAAACACATTAACCAAGGATAAATGATGGGATCAAACATAGAGCACAACACAGATGAAATAGTAGAAGAACTCCAACAAAAGTATTCACCATGTCAAAATAAGATTATAAGTTCTGTCTAAACTTGAAACTCAAGTAGTGTATAAAAGTATTCACCATTTCAGACTCATTACATTATAATAGCCTATAAACAGATTAGTGCATGTACATTATTCATACTTGAGATATATTATTCACTTTTCACAATATTTACAATTATTAGGCTAATTCTATTATGCACCATTTACAAAGAGAAAATAATAGCTATAATTATAAAGAATCATTAACCAACACCAAGTTCATAGATTGATAAAAAATTGTTAGCCAACAACTTGCTACTGTTGGCAACACATCTCACCAGCTTGACAACTACTATTTTTTGGATCATAAAAAGTAAACTAGGCAATATTGACTAACCAATTCCATCCAGGCTATGTCATACTCATAATAATCATTTGAAAGGAAAGCATCAGCCTTGCTATGTAGCAGCTTCTTCAAACTACACTTGGAAACAATGCGTTATTGACCAACAACTTAAGTAGTTTAGCATGTAGCTGAAAATTGACCCCTTAATAAGGGAATGGATCAAAGAACAATATACCTTGTTGAGTTGGTAATGTCTCCAGCTTTATGCAATAATTTAGCAGATTTTGCAAGAAGAGACTTGTACTCTTGAGAATAAGGAACTATATACAGATCCTTAGAAGAAGCTACTTTATCATTGGACAGACCAGAATCTAAAATAAATTCACTGTGCCTTTTAATAACAGTGAAATAGCTTGTTGCCTCTGTCTGTTGATCCTTTGCTAAATTGTCATTCCATAAATTGAACTCCTGCAAAACACAAGTTTTCATCTTTTTTATAAATCAAACCAAATGTTTTGATAAAATAGCTTCTTTACATGACGACAAAAATCCTTTCTCACTATATGGGATTGGTTCCATTGATCAGACAACATCATGATATTCTATCACAAATCTGAATTTTTCTATGGTACCATTTTGTCCATGTCAGGGGGTAGAAATTAGCACCGGCAGGTTTAAGGATTGGAAATGCTGCTCTATATTCCAGACCCTTCCACTCACTAACTGTCCTAGTTGCTTTAGAGAGCAGCCTTATTGCTGAGTCTGCAGTTGTCAAGAATGCCTCATCATCATCAAGGCAAGACCTGCGAAGATATGGCAGAGACTGCAGTACCATACTACATTGAAATGATATGGCAGAAACTGCAGTATCATTTGTTTTACAAGAACTAGGCCAATTTGTAATAAAAGAAACTAGCCAATATACAGTAGAAGAAAGAAATCCAGTAGCAGGGATTGAAAGAGACTTCAATGATATCAAAGATGAACTTGAGAGCATCCAAGCCTTCCTCAAGGATGCAGACACAAAGGCTGCTGATGATGATGATGATGGATCCAATGGAGTCAAAACTTGGGTGAAGCAGGTGAGACAAGCGTCTTTTCGCATAGAAGATGTGATTGATTACTACAACATGTTTTTGGCAGAGAGGGCCAGTCATTCTATATTCAGATCTGCACTCCAAATGATTCTTGGTTTGATCAAAACCATGAATCCGCATCACCAGATTGCTTCTGAGATTCAAGACATCAAGTTATCACTTGGTAGAATCAAAGAAAGAAGTACAAGGTTCGAGTTTCTGTCTGAAAATGAAGCAGGAAGGACTAAAGCTCCTAGAATTGGTGACCCTCGAATGGCTCCATATTTCATTGAAGAGACTCAAGTTGTAGGATTTGAGTCTGCGCGAGATGAATTGGTTAGATGCTTGGTGGAGGAAAACAATGAGCTCATGTTGGTTGCTGTGGTTGGCATGGGAGGACTCGGGAAAACTACTCTCGCAAATCATGTTTTTGATAGCCAGCTAGTGAAAAAGAACTTTGATTGTAGATCTTTCATCACTGTTTCGCAATCGTACACCATCAGAGAGCTGTTGACAGAAATGATAAAGAAATTTTGCAAGGACAGCAACGACCCTATTCCAAGGGGTCTGCAGAATATGGATGATGAAACTTTGATTAATCAAGTGAGACAATACCTTGAGTCAAAAAGGTACTTGGTTTTATTTGATGATGTCTGGAAAGATAATTTTTCTGATGGGATTGAACATGCCTTAATTAGTAATAACAAAGGAAGTAGAATCAGTGTGACTACTAGAAAAATGCATGTAGCTGATTATTTTAGGAAATCTTTTCCTGTTCATGTCCATGAGCTACAACATTTGCCTCCAGACAAAGCATGGGAGCTGTTTTGCAACAAGACGTTTAGAGGGCACTGTCCAACAGAACTTGAGGAGATGTCCAGAGAAATTGTTCAAAAATGTGGAGGGCTACCATTAGCTATTGTGGCCATCGGTGGTCTTTTGTTAACAAAAGCTAAAACCCTCATTACAGCTACTCAAAATCACGAATATCCGTCATCACAAAGACATCATAACGCTCACAAACAACACAGAGAATCAACGGATAGCAGAAACTGAAAAAAGAAATATTACCGGATACAAATGAAGAGAGGGATGACGACAACGTAGGTGAGATGACAAAGGGTTGAGTTCGACGGAGAATGAGATTTTGAGAAATGGCAACTATTATTATAAGAAAACAAATTATAATACACACATCTTGAGAGAGAAATGTTAGTTCTCTCTTTTCTTTCTAGACAGTGATACTTCTTCTTCTTACTCTCTCTCACAAAAGACCACAACTTGCAGAACAATAACCATGGTTTTTTCTATCTCTCATCCATTTCAACCCCAAAACAAAATCAATCTTTCTCTTAAAATAAGAACAACAACAAAATAGAAATCCAAGATTCAAATCAAGCATTTAAGTTCTCCAACAACAATGACAACAAATCGAGAAAATAGAGGAAAAAAATTGCTTACCTGCAAGCAAAACCGAGAGTGGCTGGAGATGGAGGTCGGAGTCGAACGCCCAGTGGTGGCTGCCAGTGACGCTACAGGGGGCCGGAGTGCGTCGATATTGTGTTGTTGCAGAAGCAGTTGAGTTGTCGCTCGCGGTCGTCGGCGTGTCGTCGGAGGCCAGTCAAGGCTATTACAAAATCAAGAACTAAGAACATATACACTTTCAACCATTCGAAATTACATAAAAGTGACAATTTCAATCTAACTTATGAATATATTACATCAAAGTCCATAAACCAAAATTCAATTACATCCGAAAACCAGCCATATCACCTGTGTCACATTTAAAGTAAAACTATAAAAATGTTGCAAGTTAATGAATGTCCTAATTCTACGAGTTCATGTCAAACTTCATGCTTCAAAACTCCATGAACTTTGCTACACCATGCTAGTTTCAACTTTGCATCATGGACCATTGGATCAAACTATGTTATAGCCCTGCTCATTCAATTTAACAAAACCGAATGAAAAAATAGAGCCTAAATAATATCACTGCTGTATCAAAGCTTTACCAAACAAAAACTGCCTCACACTCAAAATAGAGAAATCAAGGAAAACATTGGAAACACAAAAATATAAAATCAGAGCGAAAACTCAAAAGATGGGAATTCCCAAACTAACCTCATACCAGATTTAATCTCAACCTTCAACTTTTTGTAACTAACTTTAATCAAAAGGTTAAGATTTTCTATTTCCTAACAAACTCATAACAAATTAATACAGAAAAACTCACTGGAGATTCATTCATTCTGGATTTTGCAGAAGAATCACCAAAAAATAGCTAAAACACCCTCGTTCTTCTCATATTCTACTTCACCTTCATTCTTCAACAACCATTGGAGAATAAGAAAATACCAACAAAAAAAACTCAGAGCTTGATCTTTCTCTGAACCACCTCAATCCATTCTCATTATTCTTCATAATCGCTGAAGAATCACACAAAAACCCTCTCAAACTATCTCTTCTCCTCTCATCTTCATCATTCTTCATCAGTTACTCGAGAAAATTTCTCTCTGCATTCTCTTTCCATAACTGTTTCTCAATCTGCATCTTCACCATCTTCCGCAAATTCTTCACAGTTCCTCATTCATCACACCGTAACCCTCAACAACAAAGTCCTCAATGCTCTACTCTCTACTTCAATCTTCGATCATCATTAAGTTTCAGCTTCACAAAAAATGCAACGCACATCAACATAAGGTTCAAAATCACGAAGAAGAGAGCGAAGAGAAAGCGTACTTGAACTATTTCTTAAGAATATCTGGATTTCTATTCGATATCTTCGTCGCTACGAAATGCCATCGGAGCGAATCCGATCGGTAAGTATCATCTCCTCTAAATCTTGCATATCTATGTTTCTTCAAGCTTGGCGTCTAGTTTAAGTCCGTAGAAGCTAAATCGATACCGGTGTGGAGTTCGTGGATTAAAACTCCAACTGAAGGTTGAGAAGAGGTCGATATGCGATGAGAAAGATGGAGGCGCCGTTGAGTGGTGAGTCAGAGATCACCAGAGAAAGAAGTGGACCACCACGTCTGAGTAGAATTCGTTGAGAGACAAGTCAGAGACCATGATATGGTGAGCGATTAGCGTATAGCTTGAGGAATCAGAGAAGAGGGAGTTGTATTTTTGTGAGAAGATGAAGACTCAATTCTTTAACCCTAACCCCAATTCAATTTTATTTGCATTTTCTTTTAGTTTTAGATAATTAGAAGTGAGCTAAATCTGACTAAAAATGAAAATGTGTTTTGTTTTTTTTTATCAATTAATTAATTAATTCATTATTATATATAATATAGCGCTTTTTAATAAATGCTATTATATAGGTAGTCAAATAATAGCGTTTTATACAAAATGCTATCTTAAAGAAGTTTAATAATAGCGTTCTGGTACAAAGTGCTATCATAATTACATAGTCTGTATTATATAATAGCGCCCGATTAAAAAGTGCTATTATAAATGTGTTTTTTCCATTTTAATAGCATTTTTTTTAAAAGTGCTATTAAATTAGGTGATACAAAAAATCATTTTTGGCGTAGTGTGATGGACGTGAAAAAACTGCAGAAACCACCCTGTCCAATTTCAAGAAATTCCAAGAAAACTCAAAACTGATTTTTGCATTCCAGGCCAATTCAAGGCGTGCTATTCATTCAAACACATTGCAGGAGGTTCCAGGAACGTTTTGCAATCAAATTTAGGCATCAAAGCTTAAAGAATCACTATATACAGAACCACGGTTTGCAGCTTTTATCCAAAATCGTATTGCTTAAATCATGCATATTTAACATGTTTTCTTGATTGTTTTGTATTGCTAGGAACCATACGAAGCTAATGGTATGACTGAATTAAACTATAACGCCCTGAATCAAAAGATGCCATAACTGAATTTCTAGGGTTCTTGAGCTTTAAATTAGGGCTTTGCAATCCAGGGAAAATTAGGACTAGTGAGACATATGGTTGAAATCTTTAGACCCAGACGAATGCAATCCACCCTTCGTGAAATATTTATGATCATTGTGGCTCTAATCGCTATTTTTCGTGCAGATGAATAGTGGGGGTTAAAAACCCCCGCTATCTGATATTATTTTTATAGGGCAAACGAAGAAGATGATGAGGTGTTGATACCTGGTTGGCCGGTTTAAATCTTAAGCGCGCTTTTTTTATTTTGCCAGCATATTAATTGATTTATGTATATTATAATTACTTCTTATTATACTAACAATTATCAAGCGCTGGTGGAGTGGTTGAGTGAGCGTCCAATGAGCATTGGGACCTGGGTTCGAGTCCCAGGTCCCCCAAAACGTTCATGTTATTTTGTTTCAGGCGATTCTATGTAGTATTCAAAACAGGGTCCATCATACACCCTTCTCCAGATGCTGGCCAAGTGGCTTCAAAGCAAATCCAATGGTCACAAGATGATGTACACCATGCTCCCTGGTCAGCACATGCATAGCAAGTCTAGAAAAGTCAACGTGGATGGAATATAATTGGGCTTCAGAATTGCAGAATGCACCACAAAATTGGGCCCAACACCCCCTTCATGAGTTCACTTCTTTTCCTTCCTTTTTTATTCTTTCTTTCATTTAATTATTTTTATAACTATTATTTTAACTAACAAATTAATATTTATTTTCATAATAAAAATCCAGATAACATAAAAAATATATTATTTTTATTTATTAAATTTAATTAGTTATTTTGTAAATAAATGCTAACATAATTAATTTAGTTTTTAATTAGGTTAATTTTAATATTTTCACAATAAATAAAATTAATGTAGAATTAGGGTTTTTGACAATTTTAATCATCTTTATTTTTATTTCCTTGAAACATAAAAAACTCAAAAATATCTTTCTTTTATTTAATTAATTAATTACTCTAGATGTAATTTAATTAGATGCAAATAATAAAAACTTCCTTCTTTCTCAAAAAAAAAAGGGGTCAAAACCCTAAAAACACTCCGATTCAATTTTTTTTCTCACGCGTGTGATTATTCTTGATTCATATTTTGATCCATATTATGTAATTGTTCCGAGGATGTAATAGCTTTAATTAGGACTTTTTATCGCTTTCTTTTAATTTCCCGCAATTTACTTTTCAAGGGTTTGTTTTTGGCGATGTAAATACCCGACGCCTTGTAATAGTTTAGTTTTACTTTCCGCAACTATTAACTGCTAGATGTATGCTAACTAGGCTATGCATGACAAGACTTCTCTTAAATTAAAATCAATCGTAGCTCACCATAACATGTAAAAAGATAACATAATTGAAACCTGACACACTCGCACATGCCACTCCTAGGGTACGCCTCACTTGGTTGCCTCGACGTGGTCATTGAGTATAGGGTGTTTTAGAGGTCGCCCTCCTGTCTAAAGATCAAAGTTGCCTCAAAACGGTTGCCTCGATAAAAAACGATCTAAGACATTAGGGTTACCGCTAAGGCGTCCTACTATTGCTTTGGTGACCACACGTCCCATTAATCGAATTGACCCGAAAACTCCAACGACGGTGCTACCTACTTCTCAATAGTGGGATAGTACTGTCTAAAGGACATTTACACAGCTTAATTTCTTTTGAGTAGGTAGAGGTTCTTAGATACTTGCTCTTTCAAAACAAAAATACTTTTCGCACTTACACTTTTTTGACAAAAGTTTTCAAACAAACACTTCATACACTCTTGAGGACAGATACGAGAGTTAAATCGAAGTTTTCAAACAAACTTTTTCAAAACCCACAAACACAAGAAAAGCAAAACATTTTGAAAACATAGTGAGCAAGTACCTAAGAGCCCGTGGATAACCACGGATAGAAAGGGTGCTAACACCTTCCCTTTCTATAATCTACCTCCCGAACCCGAGAAACATCTCGAAAAGGAATTTTGCTGTGCTTTTGTCCTTTCCTTGTTGGAGAAAATAAAAGACGGTGGCGACTCTTGCTTACCGCGACATTTTGCTAAACGCAAACGCGAACCAGCATTCCAAAACAGTCAGTTCTATTTCCACCGATCACAGAACTGGCGACTCTGCTGGGGACTTATAAGTGAGGTGTACCTTAGGATT